AGCAGATGATAATAATTGATAAAGCTATTGATTTCACCATAATTGTTTCTAAAAAATGGGGTTGTGCTCCAATAGTCAGCGATTGCAGTAGCGGCAGCAGTTGAATCAGCGTAATGCATTTGGTGTAGACTATGATCATGTGCATTTAAAGAGAAGGAAATCTAAAAGTCGATTCATTCCACGCATTCACGCCGGACGGTCAAGATATAGGTTGAGCGCTAGTAGTTTGAACTTTCTCAAATCTATTGGGTTGAAGGTGCGATATGAAAAATAGTAATAATATGGCGACCATCACCACAAGTGATAGCCTGGAGGTATTCGAGGAGCCCGTGTTTGGTCAATTTCTAATCAGCCTTCATGAGCATATATATAAACCGTATGGATCACCATATTACAAAAATTCAGATGAAATCCGAATCCCAATCAATTTACAAGATCTCATACTCGATATTGCAGACAGTTAAATTTATATCGAAGGGAAGTTCACCTATCCAATAACGTCCTCGCCTTCCTCTTCGATGAAATTCGCTATGAAATGGGTGGAGAGCAAGTGGCCTTTGTTCGAAAACCCGGCATAACTACCACAATGAGAACGATTATATCATTTGGACAAACACATGCAAATTCCCTACTACCAATAGGATCGGGTCTTGATGTGAATAAACAAGATATATCGGATTTCGTCAGCAATGTATTCAGAGGTAAATTACCCTTGAAGTATCTCATGGGTTTTGCTGAAGATTACAACAGAGGAGTATTGAATGGTGAGCAAGAGCTCGTTTTGATTATTGCACGCTCAATCAAAAATTTCTTTCGTAGTCAATGCTCATTTGGAAATCAATAAAATAGAATGAAGAATCAGACACATTGTGTCGGAAGATCGTCGAGAACTGAAGCTATTGAACCGCATCAATGAAAATGCGAATTATGCAAAAGTAAAGGTGGCTTATCGTATATGGGTCCTCTATGAATTACCCACACTTCGTGATACATCCTCAGATATTTGGGCCGTGGAGACAACCAACAGCCTCGAAAGACCTTGATTCATCATCATCGACTTTCAAAGCATCGACCAATCTGAAAATATATCAAAAGATGTGACGAAATTCATACATGCGAAAATTATTAATATTCGACTATCTCTAAACTCTGAAGTATACTCATATGAGCGTTGGACGTTGGATTTTGACGAGAAGTTAGACTCGTCAGCCTACTATGCATATGAAAACTTCCAACGCAGGTACTACGACAAAGCAACAATCCACTATTTATCATCGACTGCTCCCACCAACCTGAAGCTATGAAGTCATCTACTGTCGACATCAAAATGGAATTCGAAACACGCAAGGTGAAGCTTCTAGCAAATACCAAAGTATATGCACTCATCCTACACGATGCTGTTTTGTCCTATAATGCCCTAAATGGCTCTGTTCAGACTGGATTGTAATAAGATTGACATGTAATTCCCAATGGAGTATTCGATATTGATGAATAATAAAACACTCAAATACTCATTTACCAAACAATTAGATAAAGACAAACATGGATTGATTATTTTATTTATAACGTACACAATAGATTTCAAATATTCACAACACCATCATTTAAAGATTCTTCCGGTTGTGGGTTGGGATTCTGTGGTTCCAATTGATATTTCTCTATGATATTCTGTGGTAGGTAGACGAATATGCTGTGAAAGAAATGCTTCAAGTCTGCTTCAAATATTAGCTCACAGAACTCATCCAAATTTCTGCTTCCATACGAATATTTTTGGCACAGTGCCACACCAAGCTCATATTTCTCGCTGAGTTCCAAAAGTTTTCGTACCTCTTCAGCATCATAATATACAATTGAATCATAGTTGGTGAGGGAAGAGCGTCAAAACTTAAGTCGGCTAATTCCCAAGCCAACCTCTTCATTGCAGAATCCAAATTGACTGCTTCCGGCCACTATTCGGCTGAATGTTCCACATGTTCATACTCTGAAAATACACAAAATGCATTCATTAGTTTGGAAATTATGTTGCAAAAAAGCACCCACTTGAAATTTGATCATGTTTGAAGCGCGGGAGCTAATCCATATTTTACATTGATATACCATATTCCTACTATTTACAAAGATATTGAAGTTATATTCAATCTAAAATATCGAATTTGACTAGTGAGCGGGTTTTGGCACCATGATAATCCTGAGAACTTTGACCCATTTATGTAAAAAATGAATTCAGCTTTGGATGAATTCACTTCGTGAATCATTTCTTCCGTGAAATGTTCTGTGACACGTTTTGGAAGCCATGACTTAAAAGAAGTATTATTTTCCTCGTCCAACAAAACTACTTGAATGGATTTACCATATCGCGTGGATAGCATCGACATCTTCTCAATTTTATAACTTTCATCGATAGTCAAAGATATTAAAGGCTTCTGCTCCATAGCCATAGTTTGTTGAATTATTGCAGAATTGATCTTTTCGATATTAAATTTCAAATGATCCATTTCGAATATAGTGAAATTATGGTTAATAAATATAGAATATGTTCACCTGGATTACTGTGTATACTCCTGACGTAATACTCTGTGTCACTTTAGCTCATCTATTCGAGTACGTTGGGTTATTCAAACTGAATGTGAAATGGTGATCCTCCGAACATTTATAGAACGTGGTTCTACCCACAAGTTGGGTGTCCGAGAACACTACTCCAAAATAATATTGTCTCTATCGCGTGACGTACTTGGAGGTCATTCAAGGTCAGATACAAAACACTCCCTCGAAGTCACCTTGGCTACGTTGTGTCGTGTTACAACCAGTAAGAATGAACTATAGCAATCGATTTATGTGGACCACTGCCAAAACGTAGGGGCGGTGCTTCATTTCTGTGTGTAGTATTGGATGTGTTCACAAAATCTGTAACCTTCCTTTCTATAAAAAAAGCGACGACTTGTGCCATCATGAATCAACTAACGAATGATTATTTCACCACACATGTCTTTCCTACAGCGATATTGAGTGATCAAGGAACCCAGTTCACGAATAAAAAATGGAAATAAGTTCTTAATGCTAAGGGAATAAAAGTAATCTATTGTTCCGTGAGACATCTGCAAGACAATTCGAGTGAAAGAGTAATGCGCGAGATAGGACGTCTCTGTCGTACGTATTGCAGTGATCAGCATTCAAGATGGGCGAATGAACTGGCCCATTTCTTCCTCTTTTTGAATTCATTAGGCCATGAGGCTACCGGTTACTCGCCTAGTGAATTACAGTCTGAAACAGATAGGCTGAAACTACTTCCACCAAGGTTACAGGGACCAAACAATAAAGACCTGAAAAATGAGTAAAAAAACTCATTCTAGCTCGTGAAAATTCAGAAACGAAAGTGGCGCGTCGTAATGTCCATCATCCATCACATCCGTATATCAAATTTGAGTCAGTAGACCTTGTGTCGTTAAGAGCCAATCCTAATCCGTTCGCAATCAAAGGTGAAACCAAGAAATTCCTCTTCTTGTTTGAGGGTCCTTTTCTTATTAAAGAAACAATCAGCAGATTCATATATTCTGGTCGATCCAGTTTTCATTAGAAATAGAGGTTCTTTCCCTGTAGATCATTAAAAAAAATCATATTCCAGTAGATTAGCTTCCAAGTTTTGGAGCAGTCACTTCGAAGCTGAGGGAGCATAGTTGTAACGGAATAATAGGCACTGCGTCTTTCATTCCGCTGAATACTAACTGACGCTGAATGGGTTAAGTCTCTCGCCTAGAGGTGTCTGTAGGAGTGTTAAAATGCAAGTACATAACGTTATAGTTTTTGAACTGGGTGAAAAAGTATAGCGAACAAAAAACGCGTAGATTGAAATGAAGAATTACTTTCGATTTTTAATGCAAGAATTTGGAGTGTTTAAAGCCTTAGGGTGCCCAACAAAGATATTTGTCACAAATATTGATGTGTCACCTGGTTTTGGGTGAGTTGTATATAATTTACTATGTGTCAGCTTCAATGAGGAGTGCTTATAATTTTCAAGTATTGTTACATCCTCCATCTAAAATATTTTATGTGTTTAGCTCTGTTCAATCTCCAATCATCACCGAATAAAGTGCACACACTAGAATTGCCTCATTTTTTCCTCTCTGTCGAACTCACACATTTTTACGAAACCCAGTTGAACTTAAAAGACAAACCATTTTGAAGTTCCACTACAACTTGGAGATATATTTGCAAAATATATGGACAAATGCTGGAAAAATGTATGTTAATGTTCGAAACATAGTTACCATGTTTTGTTTATGGATTTTATACCATAATTATGTTCTTTTTGAATAAAAATGCAATATATTGAAAATAATGTAATGAAACATATTACATGTTTCCATTTAGACAACTCAAGTAATAGTGATATAAGATAACAAAATAACTATCTGCCTTCAGGTACTTGTTCTTGGCAAGGGCTGTGACGATCGAGTTCTTAGAATTTATTAGTCGGGTGCGACTAGACAACACGATAGTCCCATGAATATAGGCACATTTGACGTAACATGCCGCCCCCTTTGAAAACCTCCAGGTTTTCAATTGATACTTTCATCTGGCGTAATGTCATTGTCTGAAATGGGAAGGACACAAAGTTTGCAAGTAGGACGTTGATAAACACCATTAACAGTTTTTATGGATGCGGTACGAATCACTCCATCGGAACCGGGAAACACTTTGATGACTCTACCCATAAGCCACCTTAAAGGTGCCAAAATTAGGAGCTTTCGGAGGTATGAAACTCCAAAGTATACCATCTTGACTCAATTTGGTTGCGATAGTCTCTTATATCGAGCATTAGCTCCCACAAAGTTACTGCCGTTATCAGATACAATTTTAGAACACAATCCTCGCCTTGCAACAAATCGTCTGAGTGCAGCATCAAAACATTCAGTGGATAGATCACTTACAACTTCCAAATGCATGGCCTTGGTTGCGAAACATATGAATATGCAAATGTAAGAATTAGTCACTTTATAATTTCAAATCTTTCTATCTCTAATAGGAAATGGACTACAATAATCTACACCTGTTACCGTAAAGGGTCGAGCTGGAGTAAGCCTATCCTTGGGTAGATCACCCATTATATTTTTTATATTATTTGCTCTAAATCTGTGACACTTCATGCATTCGTGTACCACCTTGCGTACGAGACAACGTCCTGATATTGGCCAAAAACAGTCTCTTAAGGATACCAATAAAGCTTGAGGTCCTGCGTGAAGACGTTTTACATGCTCGTCACGAGCGATCAAAACCGTAAGCCTGTGCGATTTAGGTAAAACAGCAGGATGTTTTTTATTGAGGTCGAAATTAGAATGTTTTAATCTTCCACCCACTCTGATAATGCCGCATTCATCCAAAAAAGGATTGAGATTCAATAAAGGGCTTTTATTATTCACATGTCCGAATGAAGTTAACTGGTTTATTTCAACAGCAAAAATTTCAGATTGTGCTAATCGAGTTAATTTTTTAATTGAGTTATTTAATTCTTCTGGGGAAAGAGGGCCAGTTTTTCTGAAATTTTCAACTTTGACATTATCAACAAATCTAATTATATAGGCAAAGACACGTTTGAGTTTATTCAAGGTCGAAAATTTGTTTAATTCCGGAAATTTGGAAAAATCGTGTGTTTTGCTAGTGATGGAAATCAAGGTAGTCGAGCGAATTTCAGGCATTTCCGTGGTAGGAATCGTAAAATGTAAATTTTTAGGCCACTCATCACGAAATGACGCGAGCCATTCAGGGCCGGACCACCATAGTTTGGAATTTATCAAGGTCGTGGCAGAAGTTCCTCTGGAAGGAAGGTCTGCCGGATTATCGCGAGTATTGACATTCTTCCAATTTGAAGGATTGGACAATTCTTGAATTCGAGCAACTCGATTAGCGACAAATACCTTCCAAGTGTTGGGTGGTCCCCTTATCCACGATAATGTTATTGAAGAATCACTCCAAAAATTAATGTTCTCAATTTTTACAGATGTTGAAATTATAGCTAATTTGACCTTATTCATCAGTTCAGCCAAAAGTAATGCGGCACATAATTCAAGTCGTGGTATTGTAAGTGTTTTAAGAGGTGCCACTCGGGTTTTTGAATAAAGNTTTGTACATTATTTTCAGTGCTGCTTTTATTTGAAATATCTTTAATAATTTTCCAAGTTTTTTAACAATCACCGTTTGCTCCAATCAGTTTATTTCTATTATATTAATTTTTTGTTTGCCTGATTAACCTGGTCAATTTGTTTCTTCAATTCTTGATTTGATTTCTGCTTCAATTATTGTTTTGGTGTTATTCCATATTCTCTTAAGATATTCCCAATACTTTATAGAATCTATGAGTTTCGTGGTAATCCAAGTTGATTATGTTTGTTCTAGTTTTTACCTAATGTGATTATCTTAGTTGCCCTATGCACGCATTGTTTGAATTTATCGATGAAAGGATTATATGCAAGTTGTGCTTCTCCGCATTTCAGAATATTCACCCATTCTTCTTGTTCTAAGAATGAATTTATCTCCATATAATCAGTTCTCTTATTGGTGTCACTTTTGTGTTCATGATAAAATTATTTTTTTCCTTTCATTTGATAATAAAAATACAGGGTATTGATCTGTCATGTCAGCTAGAATTATTTTTGGTTTAATTTGAATTTCATTTTGTAACCCCTCTGATGGGTTTGAAATCTGTACCTGAAGCGGAAAATACTTTTTGATAGGAATATTTATTTCCCAAACGAAGCGGCCATTGTAGCAATGCTAGGCTTCAATTTTATATCGAGGAAAACAAAAAAATATCTTGATCTTTATATTCATCAGTTTTGATAGACCCTAGACTCGATACATCAAAAACGCCGACTGGGAGTGAGTTTACTTGTGATTACTTATATACGGTGCTAAGGGGAACGCGTGTCGAGAGGAGGTGTTGTCCTCCGGCAGGGTAATAGTAGGGTTCCTTTGAGGGGGCGTGTCCTACGACTCCGCCCCCGTCGACCACATTCACCCTTTGTCGCAACGGCCGGCT